AACCTGAACTAGCTTCTATTTATCTGGAATTCTGCTTTCTGCTAAGCACAAACTCGCAAATCTACTAAAAATCTTTTAGACCTCAATATTGGCATTCTTAATTAAGATATATTCAATACCAGTAGCTCTAGGTGCAGTCTTATTCTTTGTTTTTCCTAATACTGCTAACCACTCATTAAGTGTAATTTCACTTTCGAGCTCAGTATACCATTCCTCTTTTATATTTGCAAGCGGCGTGTAGAATTCTTCAAGTACTTTCTTATCCTCCTCCATCTCTCTTTCTTTAAACTGCTTTTGAAAATGCACTGATATCTTCGAAAGTACTTCGTTTGCTTCGTTGTACAGCATTCATTTTTCATTTTCTTTCTCTAATACTCAATCTATTCTAATCTTTCTTAATGGCTTGTCCAAAATACTTGCTAACATTATTCCCACTTCACTGTCGATTCTTTCATATCTACGTGTTATTGCTGCCTCAATTTTCTTATGTGTAGCCTTGTCCATTTCTACCTTTTCTTGTATCTGCATTGCCTTCCAACACATTTTTGCATGACCTATTCACTTTAGTAATGCTTCTTTTTGGTTTACACTACTAGCTAGCAAAGGTACATCTGCCTAGCATATACTATTAATATGATCGATCTCACTATTCACATTTGCACTATTAATTAATTAACTCTCACTTGTTGTAGCTTTTTTAATTTGCTGAATTATTTTACTTAATTTGACTGTAGTCTTGTGCAAATTAGTTGGCTTACTCTTTCTTGTTCTATTCTTTAAACTATAAGATACTTTCTTTTTTGTGATATTTTTATCTGCCGCCCTTCTAATTGCACCTGCCAAAATATCCCAAATTAGATCAAGTTTGTCAAGCGTAGTTATTGCCCAACATCTTGTAAGCGCTCTATTATCAGCTGTAAACTTTTTGAGGTCTTCTTGATACTGTTTCTAATCGTCATTTGTTGCTTCATTATACAAATAAATATTTCTTAAGATCTCTTTCTTTCTTTCGGTTGCTGCACTACGAGTATGAACTAAATGCCTCATTGTAATACTAGCTGTTATTATCGCATGATCACTTGCTATTATTACATCTGCCTCTTCAATGTCGACCGCTAATAATCCATATCTCAGATCTTCAGATACCCATATCTGATCAATTCTCGTTGCAACACCTTGGCTGAACCATGAATACTTCATAAGATCTGGATTGGCTATTCTAAAAGTATCAACAAAGCCTTGATTTTTAAACCATTTATGCAACAGAAGGGACTTAAATGTTGAACTACTACTACTATTGCATTTGTCTAATTCTTGATTTATAATGTGATTAAAATCATCCATTATTACAAATTTCATATTACTCGTTCTTTGAATAAAGCTTGTTATAATTTTCTGCTGGACCCTATTAATTAATATCTTATCACTCAGTAGCAAGTATACTACTATAACTACTACTATTGTTTGTTTAAAATAAAACTGTGCTTCAATTATATACTCCTCAAATTTAAGAACCTGCCCTAGATATCTTTCCAAACGAGAGCCAACTAGCAAACCTACACCTGAACCTTTTCTTTTTGTTACCTCATATTGTAACCAAAAATCCTTCATATTGATTCTTTCCAAACTAAACCTTAAGTTTTTCTCATATGAATTTGTCTCAACTAATCTCAATAAGTCTACTTCTTTCTCAATTGCTCACTCAGTAATTGCCTCTAACTTGACTTTGTTACCTCTTATACCATTAATATTATAACATGCTATATTGGCCTGACACTCTCTTTCATTCGCATCTACCCCATCTCTATTGTCCATACTATTGCTGAAAGTACTACCTTGCTGAACATACAATCTATCTTGTAGTCCCTTAGTTTCTATAAAAGTGCCCATGGCAACCTTAGGAGTGATTGGGGCTGGTAGCTCCAAAATATCTTTTCTCAATTCTGTCAAGCCTATCAAGTATTTCATCAAAAATACTTTTAAACTTTTGATCAAGATCACTCTTTTCATTTTCTATTTCAGCTCGTTTTCCTCTGGATGTTGCTGAAGATCCTTCTACCTTAGGGTCACTATTTTCTTTGTTGCCTTTTGTGGCACTTTTATGTGAACTCTTCACAATTTGCTGTCTCTTCTTTTCTTTATTTTTGATTGTTGTTAGCTCTGAGTCTTGGGAGTTGTCTATGTTTTTACTCGTGTTTTCTATAACCTTTACTTTTTTACTTTTGTTCTGTGCATTAATCTACTCCAGCTTGATATCCAAGTAGTACACCTCTCTTGATAGTGCTTTCTCCAACTCCTCACATGACCCAAAATATACTGTTACTGTGTGTCGTTGATTCTAATTTCTGTTGTAAGAAATGTACACTGCTTTCACATTTACTACTTTCAATTGATGCAGTAGTAGCATTTCAATTGCTGGTTTTTAACAACCGCCTTATACGACGCTCTTTCTTTGAGTATTGCTTTCTCAAAACTTCCTGGCATAACCCTACATGTTTTCCCTTCCTCAAAATGAATTGTCTATGCATGCTTAAAATCTTTCATTCTCTTTTCACTCCAAAACTTAATTGAGAATTTAAGTGCTTTGCTTTTGCCGAAAGGTTTCCACTGTACGAATTTTATTTTACTATAAAAGTGAAGACATCTGTGCATCTGAGCTGGATGTGTTTTCAGTAATATGTTCCATATTGTATAGGTCTCAACCTATGCACTACTCATATTATATCTAGTTAATTAGCTATTTGCTGTAACATCGTATTTCTTACTTTCTTTTACTTCAGCAGGTACCGCTATTATACCTGAAGATTCTACTGCTTTTGCATATTGGCTAACGCTAACTTTAATATCTGCTTCTTTAACTATACATTCTTCTATTAGTTCAGGATTTTGTTTGTCAACTGACATTACTCTATGATCTTCTGAAATTTCTACTGTTCTCACATGGTGTAATTTGGTCTTTTTTTCTTTACTTATATTGAGATCATCATCTTGCCACTTACTCTTCTCTAGTACTACTGCACCTACTTTCTCAAAAATGCTCATTTGCTTACTAGCCTCTTCTAGTCTGGGTGCAAACTTCTTATCGGCTTGGATCTCTTTAATTCCATAATCAATACAACTGACTTCATAGATTAACAAGCTTTCAATGTTCTTCTCTTTTGTAGCAGATGCTCTACTCTCATCGCGGCTGGTTGCTTCGTTATCTCTTACTCGCAGAAATTCACAATAGTCGTACAGCTCGATTATACTTTGAAATACACACACTGTTTCTGGTTCTGTACCAGTAAGTGCTACAATTTCTCTATCTTTCCGCAACATGCTTGGTTTATGACTTTCTATTACCATCTCCTGTTCGTTTACCAATTTCTTAAACAAGTCTCGGTATTCTTTGAGCCTTCTGAGGTTAATTGATATTTCTGACATATTCTGATCATTCTGTATTACTGGCTCCTGTATAACGGTCTAGGCTTCTATTACTAGTTTCTTTGTTTACGTGTCTGCTTTTTTGTTTATTTGTTTACGTCAGATATACTAATTTGTAGCTTAACGCGTTTTTGTTTACATGTCACAAACAGCGATCTACGTTCGGGGTCTAGCCAATTTTTCTGTTTTTTCAAAAATTTCTTTATCGAAAAAAAAAAAACCTTTTATTGAAGCAACTATCCTATCCACCTTTTGTTGGAGTCTATTGTTTTAGAGTAATATCTTCTTTTCACACTGACTAATACTCTCTTCTAATCTCTCACTATAAGTTTATCTAGTACTGTTTCGACTTTTTCTGTGTTTTGGTTCTGCTCTGGTTTTGGTCACAGTGATCGTCGGGAGAGTTTCTTTAATTCTAGTTTGAGCTTTTATTCTTGAATATAATTTATATTTATTTGTTTTTTTATACAAATTAAGTTTTTATATAGCTGATATATAATTACTTATATAAATTAATCAATAAAGATATGAGCAAGATCCCACCTTAATACCAAAAAAAAAAAAAAAAGTAATAATAATTGATTTATTTATTTATCTATTAATAATATAAAAAAAATCAAGTAAATTAACATCAATTTGTGATTTTGAAAAAATGTTGTATTTTTCAATATATTTCTGGTCAAGTTTGCTAAAAAAATTTATTATAGCTTCATCACTTATATAGCTATATAAATAGCTAAAAGTATGATTTTATAATTAAATTGTAATTATAACATATGTTTTAAATATATCTTTTATAGTTTAGATTTATCATATATTTATAAATGATATCTTCAATTTAATATATCTTTCTAACAGTAGTTTTTATTTATTTTTCAGATATAATTTATTATTTTTTTATTTTATATATTCATTTTTTATTTTATTTTTTCTATACAAAGTATCATTAAAATAGTCAGAGGACAAAAAATATTATGGCTGATGCTAAATTTTAAAATTCTCATTTAAATTTATAATACCTACTAAAATTTATATATAGAAACCCTATAACAAAAAAAGGCAGTAGACAAAAAAAAAACAATTTCTTAAAGAATTAAAGTATTAGAAATACAATATTTATAAAATTACAAAATCAAAATTTTTTGCCCACTGACTTTTTTGTTATAAGGGTTTCTATATACTTTTTTACTAACAATTATAACTCTAACTCTAAAAAAACTTTAACAAAAGGTCCCAAAAAATTTTATAATAAAAATAAATCAAAAATTTAATATTAGACAATTAATACTATCACCGGAAGCTCTTTTGCAATCATTTGCTTTTTTATTTAATTTCTTCTGATTTTACACTACTACTAGAACTATCATTGTTATTAGAACTTTTATTACTGTTGCTAATTTTGTTCTAAATATCAAGAAAAGTAAATTCAAATATATATGCCACAACTTCAATAGTCTTTTTAGAAGTTTTTTTACTATATTTTCTGTAGTTTTCTTAAAAGTCTTTTTAGAGATATTTATTGCAATTTCTGTAATCTCTCTAGAAGCCTCTTTAGAAATATTCTCTGCAATTTCTGTAGCCTCTCTAGAGATATTTGCTACAACTTTTATAGTCTTGTCAAAGATACTCATAGCAATTTTTGCAGCAATAAATTTCTCAAATAGCTTATTAAATATTTCATTCTTTACTGTTTAAAAAAATTATTGTTGTGGCTAATGCCAAAATTGGCTGATACTGAAATTTTGGCTTATTTTATTATAAAATTTTAAAAAATTTTTGGGCCTTTTCGTTAAAGTTTTTTTTTAATATTAAATTAAGATTTAAAATAGAGTTGTTAATAAAAAAGTGTATGTGAATTTTAGTAGGCATTATAGATTTAAATTGGAACTCTAAATTTCAGTATTAGCCAATTTTAGCATCAGCCATGATAATTATTTAATAGATTACAATATTATTATAATACAATGATACAAATGAGATATATAATTAGTCCTGGCCTAATATATAATTAAAATAAATATATAGAAAATATATATAGTTTTCTAAATTAAAAAATACTAATAATATTTACTATTTAATTATTTTTTTTGTTTTGAATTAGTAATATAGATGAGTTAGGGTCCCATAGCCTAGTGGTTTAGGTGTCTAACCCTCTATAGACAAGGTCGATAGTTCAATTATAGCTGGTGGTAATTAATTAATTAATTATCTTTGTAATCTTCGGGAGCTTTTGAATACGAAACCCTGTGGCGATAAGACTATGTGAAGTACGTATTTGGCTAATAAAGAATTCTTAGAAGAAGTTTCAAGCTATGGAGAAGATTGGACATTATATATAATATGGGTCACAGAAGGTAATACTGCAGAAGGCTGTGTGTATAAATCTGCAATTGGCAAGATAGCACCAACAACCCTAAAGTGGCATTGGGATCTTGATTGGGAGAACAGCTATATGCAATATATCTAGAAGTGGTGAGAGAAGTAGTAAACATAGTAAGGGGCTGTGGTAAGAGAATAGCTTTACCAAATATGAAACACCTCTGGCATAATAAAGAAACAAGAAAAACTAGTTAAATAAAACTCTGAAAAGCATGAAAGCAAGCACCCTAGTAGTACAAACATAAAGACGGCTAGTGAGTAATAGTTGCACAACCTATATGACTAAACATAGCAGAAGCACAAGTCCCGGGTTACTGCTTTGTAGCAGTAATTAAATGAGATACTTAATCCCTGTTCTAAGAATCTAGACTTCTGTATCACTATACCAATAAGGAGTATTTTAAAAGAGATATTAATCTAATTAAGTGGTATACAATATGAATACCTGGAACTATACGAACAACTCTCCTAATGGCGGCAGCAGCACCTGGCTTGAGATACAGATTAAAATCTGAAGTAACATCTCGAGGAATACAAAACTGGAAGCAAGAAGAGTACCCACTTCTAGAACACCAATTTGGAAGTTATACAAGAAATGAATTAGGAGTAATGTGATAAGTGATGAGAGGTGAATTATAACTAGTAGACATTGTACAGTAGTATATATAGTAAGGTATATATGAATTTGTTAAAAACATTAAAGTTCTGAGTTAAATCAGAATTTAGGGTGCTTCTTGATAGAGGTTTCTGAGAAGGTCCATCTCACATATGAGATGGTGCAAACAGTTGCATCTGGGCGCCATATAGAGTAGCCAGATGAGGTTATAATAACTATTTAGTTAGATAGATAATATATGTAATACAGTATATATATATACTGTTTGGTTAAATATAATAATAAAAAGTTAATAACAAAATTGTCAAATTTTTTAAAAAAAAAAAAAAATTAGTAATATAGTTTTATTAGTTAACAACTATATATATATATATTTCAAAAGCATTTAGTAGTTTAAAACTGCTAGTAAAATATACTTCTTTAACCATATTTTTTTTTTTTTACAAAGTAAAAATTAGTAAAAAATTAAAGTAATAATAATTAAGATTTAATTATCTTCTTTTTTTTATGAATTATGTGACTCCAAAATAATTTTAAGCCACTATTTTGAGATTTGGCTTTAACCTTTTGCAGATATAAAGGTGTAATAATATAAATAATTATAAAGTATGTGATAAAAAAAATATATTAAAAATAAAGCAATAGGAAGCCTAGCAAGTTAACCAGATACTCTTGCTATTCCTAGCATGTTGACTAATAAAAAACATAATTACAAAATATACAAAATTCAAAATAAGCAAAAAAAAACTAACTTTTATTTTTAATTCATTATACTTTTTTGAAATATAAGTTTGTATAAATTTTATAAACCAATTTGATCAAGCATTTTTTAGACCATTCTAATTATTAGTAAATAGAAATAAATTAATAATTACATATAAAAAATTTTGGAAAAATGAATTATTACACTTTTAAGATAAAGAGCTAAAAAAAAATTAGTTATCTAAATAAAAATCTTATTTAGTATAGATGGGAATATAAACTCTTCCCGACGATTCTTTTTACTACAAAAAAATCTAAAATTCTTAAAAAAATACAAGTGTCTGTAAATGTTAAAACAGTCTGGGAAGTAATCCTTAAGCTCTGTAACTCGGCAGTTGTTATTTAGAGGTAGTTCTCATATGCTACTTGCTAACTTTCTTAAAGTTTATCACTCACCACGAGGGCCAGGCACTTGTCATTTAGAAATAGTTCTCATACACTATTTGCCGACAAGCTCAGAGTTTATCACTTATCTGAAAAATAAGGAGAGTACTAGCGCCTTCCTATGGATTCAGTGTGCTGAATAAAGAAAATACACACTTCTTTACTAAACAAAACAAAGTAGTTTCGTCACTTTTCTCTGCCTCCTCGCTGCTCTTCCAAAATTTCTTACAAAAGTGGGCAAAACAGCTTATCATCTCCAAAAGATCGGCATTGTTTACACCTACCAAATCTGGACAGTTCCAGCAGACTGCAATCATGTGTCTGGTTTGTTTTGTTTATGGATCGTGCTGCTTCACATAATACCGAGGTTGGCCGCTTATGTCGTTTAGAAGTCCGGATAACCTAGTCAGAAAATTTACTTGATAAGGCGAAGCTTTACACTAGAGATATACAAATATCATATTTGTTATATAATTT